TGTGTGAGAGAGAGAGTGAGTGAGTGTGTGTGTGTGTGTGAGTGTGTGTCTCTGTGTGTGTGTGTATGTGTGTGTGTGTGTGTGTGTGTGTGTGTGTGTGTGTGTGTGTGTGTGTGTGTGTGTGTGTGTGTGTAATGCTGATGCACCCTTTCCATCAGAATCAAAATGTCATGCATGAGAGGAAATGTGCACAAGTGAAGTTTGCAGCCGCGTTACAAGCTGAATTTAAAACCGCACGGGTCAAAGCTCATTATAACCCATGCGCACTACAGTCTCGTCCAGATCTGCATAGATCCAGTACAACATATGTGCCATTCAAAAAGAGACACAATAGAGAAGATCCAAAAAGGTGCGGACTTTGGTTTCTGTTAATGCGCATGATACTGCAGCAGTTGTACTACACCAGCACACTCCAACTCACCTTGAATAAGAGCATCTGCCATGCCATTTTACTACCAGGGGGCGGATGATTAACCAATACACGCCCCAAAGCTCCTGGCACTGGCCAATCAGAGCGCGGCGGGGGCGGACCCAATGGCTACATTCCCACACTTGGTTTCACTTTGCACTTCGGAACATCTCCGTCTTCCATAAAGGCGCTGGTGCAGGTGCTCTGTCTCATCGGGGGAGGATGCCATAGGAAGGACGGGCAGGGGGAAAAAAATGAAGGAAACCGCTGAGAGAGGAGAGCACAGGATATGATAAGCAGGGTATCAGACTGGAAACGGAGGACACTGAATATGAAAGATTTATTGAAAGGGGCACTTTGAGCTATTATTCCTGGTTGGCAATAGTACTATGATTTGGTATGTGGCCACTTTGATAGCAAGTGTTTTCAGCACCCGAGGAACGGCAGCTCAAGGTGAGTTGAAGTGCAGTATTTTTTATTCCGCATCGTTTTGATAAAGACACATAGCATTTAATAGATGCGTTAAATGCCACTTTTATTTACGCATTCGACGTGGTTATACACCAAGCTATACATTTGATCAGAATACGAGCGTTTCCTGACATCGAACCCGAGACTTTAGCGTTCCTAGCGCCATGCTCTACCTCTACCAGTTGAGCTACATGCATACGACAATTAATGCATTTCATTCATTCAATTAGGATAAAACTTCACAGCCTGCTATTCAACCTCGCGTGATTTCTGATAGTATCTGCATCATCATCTCATATTAGGGCATGAGCGAGACAATTGAAGGCGTGTATTGGTCGCTATTACAATCGATTGATGCTCTTTTGATGACAAACGCTTTTTTGTGTGCCGTTTATGCATGCATTGATCATCCATGATGTATGCTGTGATTTGAGATTATAATACAGACTATCACAGATGAGAGACTGTCCGGAATTGCAGTTAGTGTTGAAAAGGGGCGTGCGGCATTGAATGGAGACATGCTGCGATTGTCTGGGCTACTACAGTCTGTCGTGCCTGTTTACACAGGGATATATATGCTACATTTTGTGTATTATGATGATAAAAGCTCAAATGCATAGCCTCAAAACACATATGCGTGTATATTTAGACAGAAACGATGTGCATGGTCTTTTCGTTGGCTTGTTCCGTCCTTTTCACTGATATTATGTCCTTTCTCGTATATATTTCTTATATTTGAAGCGCTTATTTGTTGACGAATGGACTGATTTAACCTTGCTTTTCCATTTATGGCCAATAGGAGGAACTATTTCCTGCTTTAACTACACTGATTGTCTATTTAAAGAAACAATAATTTAAATTTTTAAGTTAAAATTTTGTAACTTGTAAAGCAGATTTACAAAATATAGGCATATCTTTCTTTGGTTCTTTAGAAAAATGTAAATTTCTTTAAGTAATATAAAGTACATGTACTTTACTATAAAGCATTACAATAAAATTAAAATATTTATGCAGTTCAATGCCACCACTTTGAAAGTGCAGCGAATAAAATCATTTATCAGTTGTTGTGGGTTGCAAAACAAAAAAATAACAGGGAATAACCCCAGGCCTAGATGCTTGTTTGAGAGCTTTCTGCCTGTAATTTTATGTACTCTATGAAATAATAGCCACAGTCTGTTTCCTGATAATAATAGCCACTGTCTGTTTCTCTTTCCCAAATCCAATAGCCATTTTGAAGCTGTCGTTTAGGGAGCGTCAAGCACACTGTAATGAGACAATGTTAGTGCACAAGTGGCATAAGTTAGGCCTTGATAAGAGCACCACTCATCACTTTGAGTTTCTCTGATTGACAAAATTATACCGCTGCCCAACATGTGCCCGAGCTACAGAGTTTCTTGGGTCTGTCAAACGGCTTTGTTTGCTACACGACAAAAAGTCAGTTTCATATTTGAGAGTGAATCACAAAAAGTCAAAGACAATAGTTTATTTGAAAGAACGTGAAGTGCATTTGAGACATTTGAGACTGAGTACTGCAACAAAAGCTGAGGCAGTCAAGGAAAAAACGATTTAATCAGAGGTTCCTGTGAGGAAATATAATGGCAAGTGTAATTTAAGTTACATCAATTTTGGTTATCTGAACAATAAAAGAATATACACACTGGAGTACCTTCAAAAAGTATCTGAATTTACAATCTAGGTGCTAAATTTTATTGCCCTAATGTAATCCTAAAATACTCCAGTGAGTAGATTTGAACATCCTTAGAACCTTTAGAAGAGTGTCAAACCATAAAAAATGGAAATTGTACATTTAAACTAGAAAATATGAGCTAAGAGTCAATTTATGGACATATAAAATGAAAAAGCCAACTCATACTGTTTAGCTGGATTGTCATCTCAGGCTGAGAGGAGTTTATCAGAAAAGCGAATTAATGGTGGTGACCAAAGTTTCCCACAGATACCAAGCATCATCATCTGCACTAAAGCCACACACAGAGCGTTACAATAAGCAGGGCAAGCGACAGTCTCAGTCTTAATAAAGCTGTGAAGAGCAGCTCTTGGCACAGTTTGCAGATTGTCGGTAATGGACACCTCTGGCAAAGCTCCCTTCCCCCTTACCTTGCCAAGCACTATTTGTCTGACCTGCAGCCTTCTGACCGTTGGGTGCAAGTTGCAACCACTGCTCCTGGTTCAGGAAGAGTGAAAACTGACGACTTGCTGAGATCTTGTGTTGCAACTTCACACGTCTACTGAGCATCAATGATCCTAGGGAGGATAACATGGCCTGCAATGGCTCAAAAGTTCAGGCTTTAAAAAAAAAGTTTCAATATAATGTACATAACATATATAGTATTATTTTTTTCAAATATCATGAATAATGAATGTCCTATTAAAGTCCTGCTAAAGTGGAGATTTCTGGCTCATTTTGAGAAGATGGCTTTTAAAGATATGTATTTTAATTCAAATCTACAGATGTAAATAGATAAAAGAAACATTTAAACGTGTATGCTTTCTTTCCACTAGTCTAAATAATACTTTATGAAATGCCAAAAAGCCCAAAATTTACAGATGTTTTTGCCTGTATTGTCTCGCCTTAACTAACCTTGTTTAATCATAGTAAGGTAAAATTATCTTATATTTAAAGAGACTTAATGACCTTGACACAGTCATGAGGGACTTCAGGGGTCCTCTGTGACATCATTTTCTCTATTAAGGCCGTTCACATCAAGGACCATAACTATCGCTGTGTCTGATTCAATAACAGTATGTCAAAAGAGTAGTATTTCTGAATTGATAGTATTCAAAAACTGTAGGCGTAAAGTAACCGGATGATCTACTACTTCCTCCGAGATTTTCGTGATCATAAAAACCCCGTTTTTTTATTTGGCAGATTTGGCAGAAGGCTTTTCAAACATTAACCCAGCTAACAAAAATATGTTTTAAGAACATTTTGCATATGTTCCCATTATCATTATCGTTCATTTTATCATTTTGCAAACATTATGGGGGATGTTACTTTTGAATGTTCTCTAAACATTCTGAAACAAGTAGAAACATTTAAAAAAATGTTAGAATACATCGTTCCATGAAAGATGTATTAAGGTTTTTGTGCTAATGTTCTTAGGACATCATTAAAGACCAGATAAATTTAAACAAATGTTCTATTAAAGAGATAGTTCACCCAAAAATGCTAATGGTAAGCTGTTCCTAGCTTTATAATGGCAGTGAATGGGGGTTGAGATGTTGAAGCCCTCCATCCATCATAAAAAGGGCTCCACACAGTTCCGGGTGGTTAAAGGGGTCATATGACGTTGCTAAAAAGAACATTATTTTGTGTATTTGGTATAAAGAAATGTGTTTATGCGGTTTAAGGTTAAAAAAACACATTATTTTCCACATACTGTACATTATTGTTTCTCCTCTATGCCCCGCCTTTCTGAAACGCATAGATTTTTACAAAGCTCATCGGTCTGAAAAGCAAGGTGTGCTCTGATTGGCCAGCTATCTAGTGCGTTGTGATTGGCCGAATACCTCAAGTGTGTGACGGAAATGTTACGCCCCTTGCCATATTGTGATGCCTTGTCCCGGCCGGAACAACGAGACAAAAACATTAAAACCCATTATAAACAAGGCATTTGTTGCATCCAGTGGGGACATAATTACGGATTATAATGACTTATACTGTCTTTTTACGTGTTGCATTGCATCGCGCCGCATAAACATAAAACCATATCTGCATTTGTGATAGGAGAAATGACAAACTACAAACGCTACTCTACACTGCTCAAAACTTGCGTTTGAATCGTCAGTGGCAAATTCTTTAAATAGAAAAAACGTACTTACAATCTGTGAGTCAGAATAGCCAGCATTGTAGTCTACTCTACCAGGATCAGGAAACGCACCTCCATAAAATGTGCTGAACACATCAGAATATTTGGATTGAACTGTTCTGGAACAGTGTTGTAAATACAACTTAACCACTGATTTCTAGTCGTGTCCTCTTTTGGAAGGCCAAACAAAGTAGTTTCGCTTTCACAACGAAACACAGCGTCTCACACGGCAGGCTAGAGTGAGCAGAGGCCGGAGGCTAGAGTGAGCGGAGGCCGGCTTGAGTGAGCGGCGGCGGGTGGGCTTGCGGCAACCACATGTGACGACCCCAGACTGGACTCTGCTCCATCCACGGTGAAAGCCGATCCGGCGATCCACAGCGCGAAGTTGATGTATTTCCTCAGCGACCAGCACGGATCAGCTCTAGGCATGACGAAGCGGATATCGTCCTCTTTTGGAAGGCCAAACAAAGTAGTTTCGCTTTCACAATGAAACACACAGCGTCTTCACGACATGGCGGCGACGGCAACATCAATACTACAGCGAGAATAAAAGTTACGCCTTCTTTCTTTGCGTGAACATTTGGGCAGCGTTATGCAAATCTTCCCACATTGTGACATAGACATGTGGGGGCGTGTTAGAATGAGCCGTTTTAGGTAGGCGTGGTTGACTCTTAAATTTTATAAAGAATATCTCTTTGGATTTGAGACTTTAGTCTTTGCAACCCTAAATATCTTCTTTATGCACCAAGACCTTGTAACACTCCAAAGAGAAAGGAAAAATTGAAATCGCATCATATGACCCCTTTAATAAATACGTTCTGAAGCAATGCATTTGTGTAAGAACAATGTCCATATTTAAAACTTTATAAACCAAAGATTATGGTTTATAAAGTTTTAAATATGGACATTTTTCTTGCACAAACGCAGTTTCCGCTAACTTAATTAACCCCTCGGAGATGTGTAGAAAATCTAAATCTTATATCACGTATGATACATTTTATTTCACAGTAATGATATATATCGATATTGCTATTATAATTTTTTTGTTATTAAAAATAAGAAAAAGAAGCAAATTACAAACACAATAGAACAAATAAATATTAAATAAACTTTTCATTTATTCAGCTACAGTAGGTTTATTTAACATGTAGTAAT